GTCTTACCATTTTTATCTTTTGTCATATGATCATGTATACAGGAGAATCAGCATAAAGGATCAACTTTCCAAAATTGTTTTTACTTATAGTGATTGGCAAGTAAGGCTTATGCAAATTGATTAGAAATGTGAAAATCATCTTTTTGCAGATAGCCATGGGTGATAAAGGTGAGGCAAAGATTTTAGCCCATGTTAAGACAGTAATGTTTCCTTATCATGGCTGTTAATTGTTAAACCAGAGAGATATTTTGATGAAACTTTCAAAGGTCAGTACATAATGATACCATAGTCAAGTCTTTAGTTCAGAGAATGTCATAAATAGGGAAAAGGTCATGAGATGACTGTATCATGTTGTCCCATTTGCAGCGATTGCCTAGGTATATCTCTTATAATAAGAACAGACCTTATATGTTGTATTTATTTGAAAGGGATGGGATGGGGTTTAGGACAGGTAGCCAACAATGTGTTCATTTGAAAGGGATGGGATGGGGTTTAGGATAGGCAGCCTACAATTAATGTTGGTAATGTGTTTATCATCAAGTACAGGCTTGTCATAATGGAATGAATAATTTGCTTATTAATGCATTTATCATCAAGTATTTCATCCTGCTTGTTTCATGTCAATCATTTGAAAATAAGCTAACACAAACCTGTGTAAAAATAATTTGGCAGTTGTGCTTGAATGTACGGAAATTACATAGTTAATATTATTGCAAATGGTATAGGTTTTGCGCATGTATAAAGCTTTCTGAAGAGAGAATCAGTTTCAAATTTCTACTGAACTATCACTTCATATATCATTTGACAAAAAATGATCAGGAAGTTTTATGGTCTTGATTTTCTAAAAGCTGTGGATTTTCATGATACAGCCGATTTAAAGCAAATTATGCTTTTTTGTGCTTCAATATTATGACCTTAAAAGTTTTTGCAATTTTAGTGCTTTAAGATTGTCTGGTTTGTTGATTATGCATATACATTTAATCTGAGAAATAACAAATTCATATTATTTAATTCTCATGTACTTATATAAACATGTTTTGCTTTTCAGTTATCCCATAGTTTGAAACAATTTTAACATATATATTATTTAATTCTCATGTGTTTTTAAAAATATTGCATGCTTTGTCCTTTTGTTTGAAACAATTTAAATGTATACATCTTATGTGAAGTGCAGTCAGAACATAATTGACTATTTGTTCCAGACAATATTTTATGACATATTCTTTATTGTAAAAAGCAATGTTTATCACTACTTATATACATATGTACATCCCTTAATGTGTTGGTGAAGTATTGATTGGGTGTGAGTTTGTCTGCAATTTACAATCTTTATAATGTTTAATTGTTTATAAAGATTTAAAGTTTTGAGAATAGGAGTTGTACTTTCAAGTGTAGTGAATGTAGCGTTTTATTTGCTAATGGATAACCAAATAAAAGTATAGAGAACACTGATGGCTTGGATTGATAAGGTAATAGTAATTTACATAAAATCAGATAGTAAGATATATATGCCTGTATAGCTATGTAGGGGTGTTCTAGGGTCTGATTTAACCTATTATTAAATACTAGGTAGGGGGTGCCATGGGGGCTTGTGATCTAAGGTGCTCACCTTTACAGGTCATACACATATCTTACTTTTGTTGGAGTAAGTTCAGGTCTTGGCTTGATCAATGTGGGTATAGGGTAAAGCTTGCTAGTAGCTTCCTGTGGGTCAGTGATTCTTACTGTACAAAATATACTGGCTGCCACAAATGAGTGTGCATGTCAATCACTTTTTAATGCTTACTGCTATTTCTCTGTTCTGAATTAACAGTTAATTAATTGTATTTAAACCTGATGCATGTTGAACCTTGATAATAGGCACATGACTAGACATTCTCCAGTATCAGGCAGTTGGATCAAAATTAACAATAAGGCCAATATCTGCAACTCTTCAAGAGAAGGAACAGTCTGTATCTTTAAAAAAAAGATGATAATAAAACAAATTTTCCAGCAACAATCATACAGAAATTATACATGGATGAATGAAATTATTAAATTTTGTGCATTTTTATATCCTTGATGCCATTTGCTTTTGAGATTAGAAGAGAGCTACTAATTGGAAAGTGTTCGAATATGATAGTTCTACTTGAATGCTTAATGTTGATTCGTTTGAAATCAGTAATTGTTTTTTTTCTTCACAAACATTTATTGAGGATTTAATGGTGAAATTTAAATTTGTGCATACATGTAGGGGAGTAGAGTTCATGCATGAAACTGTAAAACGAACTGTCTATATTTGCATGATTTAACATCAAAATATAAATCAGTAACAATTAATGTTTAACTTCTCTGATCATAGGGATGGTCTGTTGTTTGATTGCACAATTGTGTTATCACTACTCCTCCTAAACTATATGGAGGATTGCCATGAATCTTTCCACACATCTTCACCCCATAGTTTCAGTATGTCCCAGGTGAAAATAAACATTCTAAATATAAATATTTGTTTTTTTTCATAAAAAAACCGCTGATTACATATACTTTTTTCTATTTTCATATATTAGGTTATAGACTAGAAATCTACAGGCAACAGTACAATCATATCACACTATAAAAGGATGACTCAGTTAAAATCAAGCCTAAAACTAGAATGAGGAAAAAGCCAGCAATAAATTTTATATTTCCATAGAAATATGTTAGTTTCTACTGGAAGCTGATTAGTGAAGGATGATTAAAAAATGTCAGTAGTATAGGGCAAGTCAAACTAGATAATTTTTACCTGAAGCTGGTTAGAAAAGGACAATTAAAACTAATTCTATGGAATGGATGGTCATATCAACAGGGGGTTTTCACTGATAGACTTCTTATGATTGTAAATTTACTTGATCCAGCTATAAATATGCAAGATGGTATGCCATTTACGATGATCAGACTTCAAGTAAAAGTAAAGATTGTTGTTTTCATGGGGTTTAAAGCCATTTTTCAGCACAAGATAGGCTATATGTGGTGACCAGTATAAATGGTGGAGAAAGAATCTAGGAAAACCCCGGAAAGAATCACTGACCCACAAGAAACTACTAGTAGGCTTTCTCATGCACCCACACTGGCTCAGCCTGAGACTTGAACCCACACAGATAGAGGTGATCTGTAACAGTGAGCAAAAGTAAAGGTCATTATACAAGAAAATACAACTTGGTGACCTTAACTTGAATGTTTGGAATACTGGAGACATTCTAATGAAACATTACTGAGATATGTATCAATATACTATACAATGTCACATACATTATCATGTCTCTAGCTCAGAAGTCAATGTTATTACAAGGGCAATCACAATCTTGTTGGTTTGAGTTATGAAGCTTTTATGTCTGAATTTCAGTTTCTGGTCTGTTGACGCATGTAATTAGATATATCTACTTCATAACTTGGTGAAGAATAATTACAGTTTTTTTTTTCTATCTAAAATAATTCTATCCACAGAAGGTTACATCTGCTAAAACTTTTAACAGGCAAAATAACAACTGTAAAACACTTTAATTTTGGAGTGGTAAAGTGTCTAGTAAGAAGACGTTAAGTATCTTCATAAAATCACAACTGTATGTTGTATAATAAGGTTTTTAAACAAAACTTGGTGCAGAATGTTAACAGTGTACTCATGTTTTCAGAATATAATACTCAAGGTCAGTGGTATAGGTTAGAACATGGCTCATTAGCTGCCATTTATTAATTTGTTACTACTTATTTGTCTCTATGGAGTCTTGTGCCAAGGGAAGGAATTAAATCTGCAGCTTATCAATGCTGGCAGAATATATCACAAAGAAATGAAATTTCAGATCACTCATATGTCAAAAAGTATTAGGCATGATACAAGTCAATATGTTTCACACCAGTCAGATGTCAGCAAGTATTATGCCATGATATAAATCAAAGAAATGATAAGTTTCTGATCACTTAGTGGTCAGCAAGTATTATGCCATGATACAAGCATCTGGGGTCAACAAGTATTATGCCCTGATACAAGCATCTGGGGTCAACAATTACTATGCCATGATACAAGCATATGGGGTCAACAAGTATTATGCCATGATACAAGCATATGGGGTCAACAAGTATTATGCCATGATACAAGCATATGGGGTAAACAAGTATTATGCCATGATACAAGCATATGGGGTCAACAAGTATTATGCCATGATACAAGCACCTGGGGTCAACAAGTATTATGCCATGATACAAGCATCTGGGGTCAACAAGTATTATGCCATGATACAAGCATATGGGGTCAACAAGTATTATGCCATGATACAAGCATTGGGGTCAACAAGTATTATGCCATGATACAAGCATATGGGATCAACAAGTATTATGCCATGATACAAGCATCTGGGGTCAACAAGTATTATGCCATGATACAAGTATCTGGGGTCACAAACATTATTCCTTGATAAAAGCAGCAGCGTAAAAAAGCAATGATGTTTCCACTGATAATGAAAGAATGATAAATACACGGGACACAGTGGCATATATTCTTCATGACTTTAAGATGCTCTTCTAACTTTGCTATTACATCATAAAATCCCAACATATGAAAGTGTATCTTGAATAATGACATGAAATTCTGTATCCAGATAAAATGAAAATGGCAGAAATTTTAATTTTTATGGTGATGTATTCTTAAAAGTTATAAATAAAACGAAAGCAAATTTTTTTTTTAATGCAAGGTGTATTTTCATAAACTGTTTTTTATCTTAAAATAAAAACAAAAGAAGAAAAAGGAAAAATACAAAGTATGACATGGTATTCTTTACTTATGAATCTGGACTTTATTATCTTGGGACAGAACAACATTTTGTTCAGTTTTAGCTGAAAATTTCTACACTGGGGTTTGAACCCATAACCTCCTGCACTTGAGGCAGATGCTCAATACACTTATTAGGTCATTTGAATGGTCCTGACAAAAATGTCATATTTATCCAACAGAGATACAATTTATGAAATTATCATTTGACAGATAAATAGGCCACTCTGGTGGCTTAAGTGGTTAGAGTATCCATCTCAGATGCAGGAGGTTGTGGGTTCGAATCCCAGCTGAGTCATATCAAAGACTTATAAAAATGGTACTAGCAGCTACTATACTTGGCACTCAGCATAAAAGGTTAGTGTTAGAACTTGTCAGCCTGCTATCAGAATAATGTGTCTGGGTAGGACATGATGCTACACCTGCAGCATGATGCCCCAGTACTAGACATCACTATTAACTGCCACACTGCAGACATCATAATGACTTGAAAATTGTTAAAGCAAAATTGAAAATCTAAATCACACACACACACACACACATACACACACACACACATACTCACACACACACACACAATGGATAAAATATGAGGAACTTAGCTCAGTCCTATTCAATTGTTCTTGCAAGATATAAAACACAGAATCATGTTTATATAAAATAAGTGTAACAAATTGAAAAAAAAAAACATGAGCACCATGAATTGGCATATTATACACCTGACCTGTGATTAACAGCTCTCCATAGCATGATATAGTTGACTCTAGAGATTAATGATCAATGTACTTCAATGATCTTGACCATTGGTAAAGATATGCAGTTTCATCTTGCTGTGTAAAAACCATTCTTATCAGATTTCCTATGATTGTGACATTTGATTACACCCCCACCCTTAAACAACAGGTTTCTTTATTATCCTAAGTGCATGCCATCAAAAACTTTAAGCTCAAGAGCTTATGCAACAGCAAAAGTTATCCTGCAAAACCCATTTTCTTTGATTCACAATGACCATAAACTTTGATATTTTTAAAACCCCAAAACTTATAAATCTCTTATGTGCAAGCCCTCTACAGACTCTGACCAAAGTGACTAGAAATAAAGTTATTATACAAAACCAGTTTTCTTATTTCAGTCTAATTGACCTTGACATTTCAATGTTTGAACCAAAAATCAATAAGCTTTATTCTTACTCAAACTTTAAGTCATTGTAAACTTGGGTGATGGTACATAGTTGTGAACTGAAATTTTTGGCAGCAACCATTTTCATTTGTTTAGTCACAGTGATGTCAACCTTTGACCCTAAAATTGATAGGCTTCTTCCATATCTCTGTTTCAAGATATACAAATTCAGATTTGTGATTTTTTGTAACTTTTTTAATTCATTTTCTTTAATATTTATTGTAGGAAAACATTTTTCTTCCCTTAGTCAAAGTGACCTTGACTTTTTGACCTCTAAGTAAATAGGCTTCTTCCTCCCTCCAAGTCCAAGCCATCCATAATATCTTGCCAGTAGATAGTAGGAAACTTGACTTGTCATGCAAATATTAAATAGGAAGCAGGCAGATGGATAACACTATATCAGAATACCCTCTGCCCTGTGGTAGGCATATAAAAGAACTTAAAACTACTTACTCTGTAGTACTAAAATTGAAAAGAAATCTGACATAATTATACAAAGATCTCGAGGAATAAACAGTTATAAAATTTACAATGGTAACAAAATGTTACTCCTAGAAACACATTTTCACTATACTGTACTACAGACAATGGCTTTTTTGAAAGGCAATGATATAGATAAAAGGAATAATTATTAAAAGATAATGTAATATACTATTATCAACTAAAGGCATCAATTTAAGGCTTTGAATAATACTCTCAAATGTAATATTTACCCAATATCTCAACAGATGAAAAAGACTTAAATAAAGTCTTATTCCTTTCTCAATTTCCATAAACTAAGTACAGACTGAACTGACTGCTTTTAAACATCCCCACAATATTTCTATTCCAAGGAAATGATACATCACAGTTAGTGACCTACTGAAATCATGTGAAAGCAAATACTCAGTATCCTGATGGCCATAATAGATGTTTGATTAACACTATTTTCATTTATGACAAAGTAGTCATCATTGGAAGACTTTTTGTTTGAATCCCATTACCATCAAACCAATATTACTATCAATTCAAGACAGATACTCTCCTGTCTTAAAAAATTTCCTGGAATTGAAGGTAAGATTAATTGCTATTTTTAACTGCTGAGTATTGAAACCATATTCTTCAGTAACAAATATTTCAAATTAATTGTTGTGGTGGCCATATTGGATGTATGATTAGACAATGGTAAAAATCATATTCCAATATGACCATAAATTCTGGAAAAGTAGCATGAACATTTTCGAAGACAGTCATGGGGTCTATATTGTATATCAGAATGATATTATTTTCATTCAGGAACAATTAGACCATACAAAGTCTTCTGGTGACAACCCAATATCAAAATGACTTTCCAATCAGAAGGACAAGCAATAACATTTTAAAGATGGTTGCTATGGTGGCCATACTGGATGTCAGATTGGCATTTCATTCATGACCAACTTGATATCATACACCTTCAAAACCCTATAATGATACAACATTACATTTATGTGGTGTAGTGATGTGACTTTCAAGATGGCTGTCATAGTGGCCATACTGGATATCTAATAGTCACCAACTAATCAGACACCATAAGAAGTCTGGTGAAAACCCAATGTCAATAACAGTTTCTATGCTATAAGGTTTCAAGGTGGTTACCATGATGGATATATTGGAAGCCAAAGTGGCACCTTTTCATTTAGTACCAACCAGACATCATCAAAAGTCTTTAAGTAAAAACCGTATTTTGATATAACCATCCATTTAGAAGGTAGCAATAACATTTTTAAGATGGGACAATTTTCATGACCAATGGCACTAAAAACAGCACTGAGATGTGAGATATATATGATTTTCAGCTTCAGTAATATACATATTTGAGACTTATGGGGTGTTTTTGTTGTTATTCTCCTTTTTGAAATTTTTCATTAAATATTTTTTAAAAAAGACATCATCGTCAGTGTGTTATACGTATAAGCTCCATACTTTAGTTACCTGTTGCACACCGATGCTTTAGTCCACAAGGCCCTGAGTGTACATACTTAAATGTGATGTGATTATGAATTTTAACATAGATTTATAAAAATTTCAGTCATATCACTACGATGTCTGCAGTGTGGCAGTTTATAGTGATGTCTAGCACTGGGGCATCATACCGCAGACATGTATGATGTCCCACCAAGTCACATTATCCTACACTAGGCCGACCAGTCCTAACACAAGACTCTTAATGCTGAGCGTCAAGCAAGGCAGCTGTTACCATTTTTGTAAGTCTTAGGTATGACTTGACTGAGATCGAACCCACAACCTCCCGCATCTGATGAGGATGTTCTAACCACTAGGTCACCAAAGCAATTCACACTTAATTTATGCCATGTAAAAATTCTGCAATCTTACAGTGGCCAAAGGCGATATACATGAATTATGCACTGTACTTTCTTGCAAAAATAACTTCCAGAAAAAAGTCACAAATAGCATATATTAAAACTTGCTGGCTTTTAAAAAAATGTTTTCCATTACAATTTTAACACTTAAATAAGATTTCTAACAATTTTTTAAATATAAAATTAAAATGGAGAACTTCCTAAAGGGGCTCAGAAAAGAGTACAAGTAATTCCAACCCTTTTAATCATCTATTAAAATGATAAAAATGACTTGCATAATCTTATTAGTAGAAATTTAATCACATTCATAAAGCTTTCACCAAAATCAATGTTTCATTTGTATACTAATCACATGGTAAAGTGGAGAGATGACATAGCAACTATGAACGCAACAGTAATACAACTTGAATATAATATCTCCCAGGATATCCTGGATCAGTCCAATTTCTGTGACATTTTTCAATTTTCAAGTACCCAATATCTTCTAATTTATCCAAAATATTCCAGGACATGATATACATTCAAAAAATACACTTTTGAAGTTGAAAATGTAATTTGCAACAATAAATTCATTTTTTGCCTGAACCAAAATAGTGGATATTACTCTTCACAAATTCGACAATTTTAATTAAAAAATATGAAAATGTGCCATAGAATAATACTCACTTGCAATCTGACTAGTCATTTCTGGGTATTAAGTGGTGTTATTTACAATTTACACATCAAATATAGCTACATAAAGTACTGTAAAAATGGAGAGACATTCATACAATAGTGCTGTGACAGACCAGTAAAAAAATTGTGAATATCAAAAACTTTCAAAACTAGTTTACTTCTTACTTAACCAATAGAGTACAAAGTGTCTTTAAATGGTCAACTTTCTCAAAGTAAAAATATTAATTGTGGAGTACCACAGGGCTCTATCCTTGGACCTCTGTTGCTTATTCTGTTTATCAATGACTTACCTTTTAAGAATGGAACTTCAATTTCTTGCACTGACCTCTATGCAGATGACACTACACTGAGATGGATAAAAACCAAAACAGTACTTTAAAAAAACTTGCAAAATGCTCTCAACAGACTTCAAGTATGGTACAAGGATTTGGAATTTTTAAAGTAAATTTAGCAATTTTTTAATCATATCGCTGATATCTGCAGTGTGGAAGTTTATAGTGATGTCTAGTACTGGGGTATTATTATGCCACAGACATGTAGCTTGATATACCATCAAGCCATATTATCCTGACACCAGGCCGACCAGTCCTAACACTAACCTCTTAATGCTGAGCGCCAAGTGCGGCAGCTGTTAATATCATATTCATAAGTCTTTGGTACGAACCGGCCAGAAAACAGTATGATCATAAATACAGAAAAAAATGAAAGCCCTACTACTTACAATAAAACAAACACGAGCAAGGCTTGATAATGACAAACTCTGGTTGTGTATCTGACAATGTGATCCTAAAATTCTTGGTGTATTCATAGATAACAACCTTACTTGGTCTATTCACATTAAATATGTTTCAAAAATGTTAATTCTTATCTCTGGCTACCGAGGAAAATTAAAACATACATTCCTCTTCAGTATAGACCATTCTAAAAATATATTCATGCATTCATGTGACCATGGGTCAACGAATCCAAAATGAGGCTAAGCTAGGCACCAGCTTCATTTGACTTCACAACCATGGCTGCTAAAATTAATACTGGCAAGGGAAAAATTCATGACAAATATTGTGTTCAGTTATGTAATGGCAATGCTAGAATTCACATAGAA